ACTCCCAGAATTCCCCAGCGGGAATTCTGGGAGTTGAAGTCCACACGTCTTAAAGTGGCCCAGGTTGAGAAACACTGCATTAGAGTAATAAGAGTTGGAAGGGATGTTAGAGGTCGTCTAATCCAATCTCCTGCTCAGAGCTAGATCCACTGAAGTACCCTGAGAGAGGACCATCAGCCTCTGTAGGGTGATCTCTTGCAATGGAAAACTCTGGTCTGACAATGGAACAGTGACTTCCCATGATCTGGACTCTCTGCTCCTGTTAATGCACCTCAAGATGGCATTTGCCTTTTTAGCACACTGCTGGTGTGTGTTTAACTTGCGGTCAGCAGGGCTATTGAGATCCCCTTCACATACACTACAAGCTAGGTCTCCCCCATCCTGCATTTGGGTCTCAGATTTTCCTCCCCAGATGCAGAGCTTTACATTTCTCCCTGGTAAATTCCGTCCCACTCAGTTCAGCCTGCTGCTCGAGCCCGTCTAGATGTTTTTGAATGGCCTTTCCTTCATCTAAAGCATCAACCACCCCTCCCAGCTTGTGGGTCATTTGCAAACTTGAGTGTTCCCTCAACTCCTTCATCCAAGTCTTGGATAAAACTCTTGGACATGACAGGGCCCGGGACAGAGCCTTACAGCCCTCCCTGCAGCGCTTCTCTCCAACCTGAAAGGGTCATGAATGAGTGCTCTTGGGGGACAGTCATTCAGCTGATGTGAGTCCATCTAACAGGAGTAACACTTGGCCCATTTATCGGTCTGGATTAGTACTGGGTATAGTTGCTAGCAGCAATTCTTTGGAATCTAACAAGAGCCTTTCACCGCTGCCAACCTGCTTAGTGGAGATCTACATCTCTAGCACTTCCATCATCCTGGAATGACCTTTAGGAGGAACAAGTCACTGGGGAAGTTGGGTTGGTGCAAGGAGCTCATGGTCTCTCATTGAATAAGGAGAAAGTTGCTTTCCACAGATTAGATACAGCAAATTTAACTGCTCCTTTGTTTGATAGGAGACTAAATTCAGCTGGTTTTTCAACATTCCAGTTCCTTCGCTCTTTGGTAAAACCTACTGGGGCTGTTTTATATTACTGGACTTGGCCTGAGTGAGATGGTTTAGCCACGGTACGCGTGAGACCACAACCAGTCAGCTCTTTTCTACCACCACGCCCAGGGCATATGGTCTGATGGCAAACTATACTTCCTCCTATGGTGCAAACTCAGCTGGCTGCTGGCTGGGGAATTCTGGGAGTCAGAGCTGCCACCCAACCCAACATCCTTCATTGCAGAACCTGCTCTGAGCTGGGCATCCCCAAGTCCCTTAAGTGATTCTGGGGTGGAGGTAGCGATCCCTGGTGCAGAAGCAGTATTTGAGATAGCTGTGTGTGACATAAAAGTCAAGAATGGGCAATGGACACAGGATACAGGACTCAGGAACTCCCACTTAAACATGGAGCCTTGCAAACATCATGTATATAGATTTTGCGGTATTCCCTCCAAACCATTGCAGACTTAACATTCCTTATCTTGTTCGAGCTGGAAATTAATTTTGAGATTTCTCAGGAATGCATTGGTGTGCAAGAAACAGCTACCATCTCTAGTGTTGACTGCGTAAGAAATTCAAGGTCATCTGTTACATTTGTCCTTGTAAATAACTTATTAAATCTGAGCATTCGATTAAATGGCATTTCTGGAAATCAAGTGACATTGTCAATTCAGTTGGTCAGAGACCAGCCCCCTTGCAGTTATGGGAAAAAGGGTTTGGATTGGAGTGTGGGTCGCTGTCCCCTCCACCGTCCCTGAAGTGCTGTTAGGTTGATCCTATTGAGCAAATACATAAAAATGGACAGAATTTGGGGATTCTTGGCTGGTGAAAGCAGTGACTGAGTCTGATTTGTGAATTTCTGTGGAATAGAATTGTTTTTGTCTTCTCCTTTTTAATACCTGGAAAAAACGTGGAAGATAGTTGTCTTCTTCCTTGTTTTAATATTATGAAAACAACTCTGTGTATTTTGCTTGGTATTTTTTATTAACATTATATTGAGCATCAACATGTACAGTTGTAGTAACTATCTGTCCGTCTATAGCAGTGTTCCTCAACCTTGGCAGCTTTCAGAGGTGTGGAC